GTCGGGCCGGTTCCACTTTTAGGAGCCCCAAGCCCGGCCCGATTAATTCCGGGCTCGGGTGGCCCGGACCGGTCCTATAACCAGGTACCGGGCCGGGCCCAAACAGTACCGGTTCCGAGCCGGACAACCTGATCTGAGTCCATGACTATTCTATGATCATATGATTTATCTATTCAAAGAAGAAAGAAAAAAGGATGGTTCATACTTCATACTAGTGGTGGACCGGGCCCGGTCCAGTGCCGGTTCAGGCCTAGGCTCGGCCGGGCCTGGAAGGTGTTGGGTAAGGCCCGGGACTGGACCGGTGGGCTACCGGTTCCAGGCCGGGCTGGTTCCGTTTTTCTTTTTTTTTGTGTTTTATTATTTATTTCAACCCCTACCCCCCATCCCCCCCAAACCCTTCGGAATCACTTATCCCAGCCACCTAAACCCAGCCCAAACCAAAAAAAAAAATAGAGACCCGAACCGGGCCGGTTCACAATTAACACGCACCGGAACCGCCCCCGGTTAGCAGGCCGGGTCGGGCCCGGTACCGTAACCGGTCAATCGGTCCGGTCCCGCACAGTAGCAGGCCCGGGCCGGTTCCTGGGCCGGTCAGACCAGGTCCATGACTACTTCATACAGAGGGAGAAAGGAAGGGTTAAAAAATTGGGGTTAAAAGAAAGATGATTTATATAACCTGAAGCTATAACATCATGAATGTAATATTACAAATTACACATTACCGTGTATAGTAGTTTTTCTACGTATTCTTGTTTACCAGTTAGTGTATTTTTATACTACGTATCAATTTACCCGTTATGAATCTTTCATAAGTCTATCAGTTTTGAATTTGTTGGCAAAAAATAAAAAATAACTCAACCTAAGAGCTCGTTTGGTAGCACCAAAATCGCTGATTTGGCTGATTCTGCTGAAATGTATGAAGTTCTGGCTGAAGTGGCTGATTCTTCTGATTTAAGAAACAATTATTTTTAAAATAAATTTTATTAACAAAACAAAGAAAAAATTATATGTAAAAATAACTAAAATAATCATCTACAGTAACTTCAGCCAATACAGTTAGGAAAGTAACCCGAACCTTACTTTTTCTGCTTATTACACAATTCAGCGCGCGAAAGCAAAAGTTACGTGTTTGGTGAAAAAGTTGGCTGATAAGCCTGAAAAGCCGAAAATAATGTTACCAAACTTTTAAGTTGTTTGAAGTTGCTATTTTCTATGGATTCATAACCGGATCATGTTATGAATTTTCAGAAAAGGAAACATTTCAGTTATTTTCTGTTTAAAAAACCAAAACCAAAGCCAAACCATGACTAGCTTCAAACCACATGTTACTAAATCTAAATATAATAATTACTTAAAAGAATATATAATAAGCTCCAAACCACATGTTACTAACCCCAAATCAAATAGTTTTTCAAAAAGATATAATAGTTTCTGTGCTTCATTTCTGTGTGTAAGCACAGAAACTCCCGGAAAAGGGAATGTTCCATTTCAGAAATCCTTTACAAGTTCTCCAAACACTTGTATTTCTAGGATGACGTTTATCAATAATGTTACAGCATTTCAAAACAAACATATCTACAATTCTCTGTTCATACACCTGAAGTAGGATTATAAAACCAATAGCTTCTGCAGCACATATGTTAGTAAGCTACATTTTCATTATTGACTCATTCTGCTTCTCATGAGAGTCAGTATAGTAAATGCTCCCTCCGGACTCCGTCCTCGAATTTAGCTTTCTCTTTCCTTTTAAGGAAAGAATTGCATATTTCAAATTGTTTTTCTCCCTGCATAAATATTATGCACACTATTTCTATTTCACAATTCTTAATAAACATGTCAAGTCAAACGGGAAGAGTCCTTTTCAAAAACATCAGAAGTAAAACATAAACATGCAGATGCACAAAAGAATGTAACCTGCAATCAACTGATTGAACTTTACGGAAAGAATCCCAGCACAAAACCCCTTTTTGGCCCTTGTAGAAGAAGGCTTCGTAGGTCTTACCAGAATTCGCAATAGCAAGAGGTCCTATAGTTCAACAAATACCCTGAAATGGCATAAAAAGTAGAAACGTTTTATTAAAAGGTGACACTGTTTTTTACTGTGTCTAAGTTTCTTGCCTCAAATTTAAAATCTGCTTCACTCTTTTTAGTTTGACTGGAACGTTTCTGGCCTACTATAGTCTCTATTAAAACTAAAACAAGTACAAGTAATAATAAATTAAATTAAAGGTGACCCGAATGTCAACTAAGTGTGTGTTTAGATGGTCCTAAAATCATGTTTGGGAAAAGTTTAACCAAGGAAAAGAAAGATCCTTGACACAACGTTGTTTTGGCTATGCCCAAGACCAAAACAGTACCCGTTTTACTAAAATGTGGTACCCAGACTTATAGGTCGTAAATAAAGACTAAATACATAATAAAGAAATACCTCTCAAACCGATTTGAATCAAGGGGATAACATTTCAGTAATGCACCCTTGGGAGAGACAAGAGGTGTTTGCTTGCTCAACAAGCACTTGTTTCCTTCCTCATCTGTGAAGATTTGGAGACCACAGTCTCTAAAGAAAGACTCAATATCCCATTCCTAGCCATTGCATGATAAACGGTTGATGGTAGAAAGAGTACTAGATACTCAGAGAGGAACACAAATTTATTAGATATGATAGTAAAAGGAGAAACTTTACCTTCATCATCAAGAGTTTGGATAGATCAGCTAGGGTAATAGGCTGCAGCTTGTACCCTCCATGGTTCAGTGAGGAAAGAGCTAATTCTCGAACCTTTATCAGATCCAACAAAATATGTGCAAATAAAATGTTAATCCATACCCAATAAAAAAAACTATTCATTAAACAATTGCAAAAATAATATAGAGATCAATACCCAATAAAAAAACAATTCAATAAACAATTGGAAAAATAATATAGAGATCAGAAAATTTAAAAAAGGTGGAAAAGGATGTACGATTCCTAAAACCAACATCCATCAAGAAGAGCATCCACAACAATGGTGTCAAGTTCTTAATTCTTAACGGGTCCAAGCTTGCTACATCAATAATGAACAAAATTATTATTTCTTTCCCAAAAATCATTCAAGGTTCAAAGTGGTCCCACTTTAATTGTTTGAAAGAAGTTCCTAAAATAATGCTATATATGCATATATATATATGTACACATATAACTTTAAAAAAAAGTACATACATAACTTTTTAATAAATGTAATCAATAGAGTTATTTTAATATATCAGATTCCAAATTTTGACAAAATAAATAAATGCATAATTTTTTGTATCGTTATACTTTAATTTTTTAAATTGAAAATGCTGCAAATTATCACAGCTACGTATGTAATATATATTGAACTAGAGCCTTTTTGTAAATAAAAACGCTGCAGCCAATTTTATCCATGCAAAGCATTTAAAAAAAAAATTAGGGAACAGCCAGCATTTAGCATGCAGGTCAGTTTAAAAATTTAAATGCCAACCATTTACTTTTATTGCATACTAATCACATTGTGCCATGTCTCTCGTGCAGAAACTTTCATTTTCTTTTTCTATTTTTCTCGTGTATGAACCATTGTTTTAGAACATGTGTCAAGATAAGGAACATGAACAATGGCAAATATGTAGTTCATCAGTTCATGTTCTAAAGATGAAACTTGATACAACTATTGTGGATGCTCAAATTCAAGAGAGCCTTCTGTAGCAACTAAACTGATTTATCTTCGAAGTCAGAACTGGAGATCACCAACATAATCCCAACTATGTTGATTAGTGATCAAAATTCAATTAATATAAATTCCTGTAAAAAATCCTGAACCTTTATTGTGCTCCAACAATAAAAAGGAAAAAATTGTTAATCCATACTAAATTGAATAAAAATAATAGTTGGAAAATAATGATAAGATAGTGGTCTAAAATCAGTTGGTAAAAATTCATGCAAAAATGCATATAGTGAGAAAGTTTGACATTGGATCCACCCTCCTTGCGCACCCTTCTTATGAGACATTAGAGGGATAAAACTCCAAAAGGCAAAACCGTATGCATGGTAGTCAAAATCGCGATCTTGCACGTAGGATCGTACGATTATACAATCTCTACTGCTCCCTGCGATCTCGGTTTTACTAAAGATCGTAAAATAGTGGAATCGATGAGATCGCTCGTGCAGAACCGTAAACTTGTGGAAACGTAGCTGAATCGCGAGTCAACAATGAATAGTTGTCAGAAATTTTTAAAGGCTTCGGGATTAGGAATCGTCGGCAAAAAAGACTGAAAGGTCTAATAAAGGATTGAATCATCGCAAAAACAACCCCATCCTTCTGCGATGAACTCGTTATCTTGATCTCAGTTGTCGGCAAAAAGACCTCATCTCTCTGTGTCACCTTGTTATCTTGAATCGATCTCCAGGCCAATAGTATTACGCACTCATTGTTTATATTTTATTATAATTATACTATTATGACATCGTATTATGTTATACAGAGTATTATTACACCAATAGGTATTTACTTTATTACTCAGTATTATACTTTTAATAAAATAACTTTAATTTCCAGTCAACTATTAGTCTTGTTGCTGTTATTTATTATTATTATTATTAATATTAATAAAATACAACTTTAATTTACTGTCAGTTGTTAGTCTTATTATTATTAATACTATTATTTTTTATAACTATTTTGTATAATATCTAAAGTATTGGGTATTATATTGTAAATATCTTAGTATGATTATTATTGATGAATTATATTCAATACCTTACTATAACGATATCATACATTATTATATATGTAGTATGAAATAAATTCATGTCTGATTATAACTTATATATATGTATGTATGTATGTATGTGTGTGTGTGTGTGTGTATATATATAGTAGGATCTTACGATTCGAGTCACGATCCTACGATTTACGATCTTCAAACTGATAGGGACCTACCTATTAGAATAATATTAGAAGTAATAATAATAATATTAGTAATAAGGGTCTCTAGTATAAATAGATGTAAAGTGGGAGTAATTGGGAGGCTTTGGACTGTTTAGTCTTGGGACTGGGAAGATTGAGTGTTTGCTCTTTCTTTGGGGGGCTTCGGCTCAGTTTGGGGGCTTCGGCCTTTGTACTTGTTACTGTTCATCATCTCCTTCAATAAAGATTTCTCTTGTTTCTTGATATTAGCTTCTGTAATCTCTGAATAGTTAAAGGTCTCTATCATTGGTATCAGAGCCAGGTTATTTCCTGGAGACCGAGAATCTGAATCATCTGAACCATGGCGGAGGAATTCTACGTGACGCCACAAATGGAAGAAAGAATTGAAAATCTGAATCGAAAGACCAAGGAGATGCAAGTTAATATGGCGACAAATATAGCCGCGATGGAAGCGGCGATGCAAGCTTGCTTCGCAGATTTGCAGAACCGACTTCAAAGTTGTTTGCAGAATCGATCGCACACTTCGCGTAGGTCGCATCGCGACTCTAATCATGGCCACACGCGAAAGTCAGGGAGTCCAGAGGAATTAGAAGAGCGGAGGCATCGCAGACAACCTGGCGACCGAACGAGGAACAGTAAGCCTCATCCGCGATCGCAGACATATTCGCGAACTGATTCTTTGCATCGCTCTTCTCGCTCTTCTCTCTCTTCGCAGAGTTCTGATTATCACTCTTACCATCGCTCTTCGCATCAGAGTGCGCCATATTCGTCTAAAGTCAATTCTCGGAAGTCAGCTAGTTCAAAGAAAGAGGAATTACCTCTATTCTATGAGAATGAAGCCTACGAATGGACAGAGAAGATGGAAAAATATTTCCGAGTTCAAGCTATTGAAGAAAAATTCAAACTGGACGTGGCAGAAGAGGCTATGGGGGAAGCCGCATGTGGTTGGTTTAAATGGTGGTGGGAGTATCAAAAGAGGGAAGATAGTTGGGAGGCTCTAAAGGAAGACCTTATCAAGGATTTTCCACCTAGACACCGGCAGAAGACAGGGATGACAGCAAAACAGGAGTCCTCGAGATCAAGAAGAACTTCCTTCAGTTCGCAAAAGTCATCACAAACATCAACCTTCAGTTCGCAGGCTTCAATAGCTTCTACCAGTTTATTTAAGAAGAAATCCAGATGTGAAGTTTCCATATCGCAATCCGGAATTGTTCCTGTCAAACTGGCATCAACTTGTCTCAATCCACAAAAAGATTCAGAAGGAATGGAAAATGTGGAACCAGCTTTGAACTTATCTCCAAAGGATGTTTTGATTGAAGAAGTAAGTCTTACTCTTGGACTAGAAGACATGACACACCAAGTGAAAAAGATTGATGTCAGGGGAGGGTGTAATTTTGAGGCTTCATCTGGAGGGATCAGAATAGCAGAATTCTTAAACGAGAAGACATTGGGAAAGTTGATGGAACAAAATATTGAAACCAAAGGGAAGGTGAAATTAATACTTAATTTGGAAATGGCCATGTCTTGGTTGGGTGATAGATCTGAATTCTTGCTAGGACATCAACCATGGAAATTTTACTTGGAAAATAACCTTTCTTGTTCCTTAGTTAAGAGAATTGCAGCTGGAAGAGTATATCTGTTAACTTGCAGGTTAAAGCCTTGTAGACCTTCCTTTTCAAAGGAGGTAGGTAAAGAATTAAAAGAGGAAGAAGTTGATAGGTACAAAAAGGAGTTTGCATCCAATACAGTACTAATCTCAGAAGATAGAAACAAGGAGCTGCAGAATAGTAAAGAATTAATTCCTGCTTTGAAAGGCTGGAAGAAGACTGAACCAAATGACATTGTTACCTATGATGTTTTGATATCGAATCCAAATGCTTTGTCTTCTGGCTTGAGTTCTTGGTCCTATTTTCGAAAAGGAAAGGCTACTTATTATTACTCAGGTGGTTGGAATGGTAAGAATGCATACCATGATGGTGGATATTGCTATGTGATGGTGGGCAGTGATCAATGTATCTCAAGAGTTTCATCTCTGAGTTGTTTTATCAAAAAAGGGTTGGGAGTAGGATTGACTGAGAGTGAAATGGCAAAGATTAGAGGAATGCCAGGGGTCTGTTTAATTGCTCCAGATGGGGGTGGAATGGCTGACTACCGGTTTCAGTTGGCTACTATAGATGCTGCAATTTCAAGGAGTGAAGCAACTGAATCTCAAAGATTTGAGTTATATCCTGCTATTAGCAAAAGGAAGAATAAGCAAGGGAGGATGGGTGAAGATCAGTACCAGCATGATCAAAGACACAGGACTAATATTGATGATTGGAAGGAAGAGGAACTATTGCTGTTGTTGCTGGAAGCAGTGAGAAAGAAGATTCAAGTCCTGAAGTTCAGGATCCTGAAATTTGAAAGATATTGGGAAGGGAGAGGAACAAGGAAGAGGAAGAGGAAGCAGAAGATTTTGGCTTTCTCCTATTACCCACCTTGAGGACAAGGTGGATGTTTAGGGGGGAGTATTGATAGGGACCTACCTATTAGAATAATATTAGAAGTAATAATAATAATATTAGTAATAAGGGTCTCTAGTATAAATAGATGTAAAGTGGGAGTAATTGGGAGGCTTTGGACTGTTTAGTCTTGGGACTGGGAAGATTGAGTGTTTGCTCTTTCTTTGGGGGGCTTCGGCTCAGTTTGGGGGCTTCGGCCTTTGTACTTGTTACTGTTCATCATCTCCTTCAATAAAGATTTCTCTTGTTTCTTGATATTAGCTTCTGTAATCTCTGAATAGTTAAAGGTCTCTATCACAAACCCCCTCACGATCCTACGTAGGATCTCGAGTTTGACTACCTTGACCGTATGTTTTCACATGTAACGAAAGTATCACGCAACAACAATGAATTCAGATATTTGTGATGTATATATACATTGTGACAAATATGGTGATCTACATTGACTAGTACATCACTGTGATAGTGTGATTTTGTGAGTGGATGTATGTTGTTTGAGAGAGAGGGACAGAATTTGGAATAACCTGATTACCTGACTTATGTAGGGTTCAATAATACAATACTGCAAGTATGATGCTTCAGACTCTGCTGTATGGATAAACCTTCTGTAGTTTCCCAAATTGTAGTACCTGTTGAAGGAAACAATTAGTATTAGAAATAGAACTATCCTCCCATAAACATTTTAATCAATCAACATCTTTTTAATCTCACCCTTTTGGATAACAGCAAGGGCAGTAGAGCATCAATACTTACCTCAAAATTTTCCTGGCAAAACACATTACGGTTGACTTTACAGTTTCAGGAGGAACTTGCCGAAACCACAAGCACAAAGATCCCTGAGGAGCAGAGAGAGTTTAATGTTGGTGAATACAGGATTACAACAAAAAGATAACTTAAAAAGAAATTTGGGATCTTTTACCTGGCTTTCAGAACTAAGGTGGAGAAGAACATAATAGGCATGGAATTCAGCTTCATTTTTGTGCATGGGTTTGGATGTTCTATTTACCTCATAAAGATCAAATAGAGTTGTTAAGGCCTTCTTGAGCTGCTCCATGTTAAGGTGTAATGCTGAAGAGATAGAAGGACCACTACATTGCCTAAGCTCGTGGAGGGACATGATATGAAATTTTACCTGAGTGGAAAGGAGTTTTCAGTAAATGTTCAGACATTTTCGCTGACATATTAAGAGTTCCATGGGTGCATTTAGGTAAACCCAAATGATTAGTTTGTCCTTGCTATGCAATCACAAAGTGATTAGTTTGTACTCCTCCTTCTCATCACTAAATTTTTAACTACGTCGATGTAGGTGCATGAAATTTATGGTTGTTGAATAAGAATATAACTTTGAACGTAAGAGGCTACTACAATGCTAATGTATAGTAGTAATGGAGCCAGACTTGGTAAAAATAGGAAACCATAATACTAAAACTACGATAACTATATTACGACTTAAATAATAGTCGACCAATTTCGAAGAAATATAAAATTAATATAGAGAAAAGAAGAGACAAGTAGTTTGGGATGCTAATCGAAGTTAGACTCTGAAGGAGGGAAAGCAATTTATATGATGGTTTGGATGAGCAAAAATTGACTAGTGACCTCACAATGGTCGAATGCATTAATGATTAGAGGCAATGTTCAAGATGATAAGATGAAGAATAATCTTGATTAGTTGTTTAGTAAATGCCAGGTTGATAAATTGAGCAATATTTCTATGAAAGAAGAAGTTAATTAAGATTATATGGGAATAATTCAAAGAACTGAAGTTAAAATTATTTGAAATAAATGAAGCTACATAAATAAATTGGCCCTAATGAAGTCCCTATTAGGTTTGAATATGTTTAAGGTAGATTTGAATATTTGATATCCGTTGACTCATAGACCATTTTGGCAAAAACTAGAAGATAATTAGATTATCAAATGATTGGAGGAAAAACACATTGATACCAGTCTATACGTGCAAGAGAGTGATAGAGATATAGAGTAGAAATGAGGCATATTCAAATATCAATGAACTGGTTTGAATGAGTGCTGAATAACAAAAGTGGCCCATCTTTTAAGACATCTTATCATCTCAAGGAAAATCATCGGATTAGGAATAAAAATTTACACAATTTTATAGACTTAAGAAAGCTTATGATAAAGCACCAGGAGAGGTATTTTAACTGGTTACGACTTGCAACAAAAAGGGATGTATCAGCAAAGTATATCTACATAATCAATTATATCTATCAGAGTGCTACGAGCCTACGCCAAATGTTAGAACATATATAGAGGCGATAAGATGTTTTCTATGAATAATGGGTTACTTCAAGGAATATCACTCAGATTATTCACATTTACAATTGTTATGAATGATTTAATTAGAAAAATCCAAGAAATAGTACCGTGGTATCTCTTGTTGCGGATAATTTCCTGCCGATAATTTAAGTGAATCTAAGGAAGGACTAAGTGCTAAGTTGATGAACTGATTCTCAAGAATTTGCATCAAAATTTAAAGAAATATTTAATACTCCGTATGTTATAGTGTTATACATATTGTTTACTACCTCCGTCCCTTTTATATTGGGACGGAAGAGGGTGGGTCGATTTTTAAGAAAAGTGGGTTTGTGTGGTTGATATTAATTGATAAAGTAAGAATGATTTAGAATCACACAAATTTTACCGAATATGGTATGGGACAATTTAAAGGGGACATCCCGAAAAGGTAAAACGAGACAGTATAATAGGGACGGAGGGAGTACTATTTAGGGGGTGAACGGGTTATATTGTAGAAAATCTAATTAGAGATTACCCACCCTGATAGGTCATTTATTATTTACTACGTACCATTTAACCTAGTGCTCTCTGATTATAATGCAAGAGAGATACGCATACCATTCTCTCATACATAGATATCACTCTTTCACCACTGCAATTTTGCATGCTAAGGTCCTGCCTTATGGATCTTGTTCTATCAAACAGGAAGTCATGCAGCACTTCAAAAGGATGCTTCGTAGATTGCAATTTGAATAGATACTCTAGAGTTTCCTCCAATACTGGTAGGGGACGCAAATCAGAACTTTTTGCATACTTTGTAGATATAGTCCTGCAGAACTACAATAAAACACATATAATTAATGTGCAAGAAAAGCCTGACACTAATACTCAAAGTTGACATCTAGAATCAGAATTTAATACTTAGACTAGTATCTCACCCGTGCGATGCACAGATAGAAAAATTAAGCAAAAAATTTATAATAAGAGTTTCATTACACATAAAAATATAGAATAAGCACATTGCAAAAAATGTCAATTAAATACATAATGAAAAGTTTTACCCCGTGTAATGAAAACATGTCATCGGAGTTGAAAATTATCTTCTCTAAAACTTTAAAAAAGTTTCAAGTCTGAAGGACGGAAGGAGTACATGATAAACCCGGGAATCAAGACCCATTAACCCCTCAATATTTATATAATAAATTGTAGTTTTAAATAAATAAGAAGTTCTTCAAAACTGAGCATTCTTATTATTTCTACTAAATAAGAAACAACTTTAAATTATGCGTAGTATTTGTTGTTAACTTATTAATGGAGTACTAAAGATAATATGAGTATTTGTTTTAAAATGTCGAGTCCCTGAAATCAAAGTAGTGCTGATGAAGAGTGAAAAGAGTATCTAACTTAAGAAATTAACCTAAGCACATTTGGCCCAAATACGAAACCCATATGCAATTAAAACGTGTATCTCCCCAATCCCCACATTTGGCACATTTACTCAATAACAATACACTCCGTATTATATTCAGAATATACCAACTTTTTAGTAAGAGTATTGAGCACTTGAGCAGCCCTTGTGATGTTTGTCGGGTTTAATGCACCAAACCCCACTGTGATTTGGAAATTCGGCGCATTAGCCCTCTGTGATTTAAAAAATGCATCAAACCTCCTTGTGTTTTAATTAATCATGCACAGAACCCCTTTATGAATAAATTTAACGATTTGAAAATCACTTTTCCTAATATTTTGATTGAATATGCAAATAAATATGTCAAAATCTCTGAATCATACAAAAACGTTAATCATTTTTCTTTTATTTGACAATTGAATTTGTTCACATAAGGGATTTGGCGCATGATTAATTAAAACACAAGTGAGTTTGACGCATTTTTTAAATCACGGGGACTAATGCGCCGAATTTCCAAATCACAGGGGGGTTTGGTGCATTAAGCCTGATGTTTGTCAGATTTTTTTTTTGTAATTGACATTTAAAAATTACAGTTGTAACAGGCTCAAAATAATCTAGCCGGACGTACATACCGTAAGTCCAAAACCCGGAGAAACATGTCTTCTTCTTAATTAAAGCCCAGAGACACAAAGGCCACCAGTCTGCCACCCGACTCATTGGTCGTCGCCTGTTGCCCGCGCCGCCTGCATCTGCCAAACAGCCCGCCTACTCTCCCAGGCGGCCAAGCTGAATTGCAGGCCGAGTCAACGACGGCGCCCACGACCCAAGACTCCTGCTCCGGCCACTCGCATGCTTTCCTGCTCCGATCACTCGTGTGCCACCCTGCTCCGGCCACTCGTGTGCTACCCTCTGCCGGCCTCTCGCATGCTATTCCGCGCACGATGCACTCTGATCTTTTGCAGAAGGCCTCACACAAAACATCTCCATCCCCCTCAAAAACCCCTCCCGTTTCAAAGGTCTACCATCAGTTTCCTTCTCAAAAGAAATGCATTTCAAGAAGAAATGCATAAACTGTCCAGCAAGCTTTCTTACGTAGTAATAGAAAATTTTCTGCTCAGACCACGACTCTAGGTGCTGTCAGAGCAGCCTTTGAAAATACTCCGTATTGATTTCAAAGGAATTTTGTCTAGCCCTCCTAGCTCCCTAGAATGCCAGTCCTTTGAATGTTTGCGTGAGTGCACTATTCCCCAGGTTGACCAGTTTGCGTGAGTGATCCCCATCAACCGAGAGATAATTAACATCGGATAGAAAGCATAGTTTTAACCTCCAGATAATTGTGTGGCTTGGCCCACCTCTCCCTCTATTTGATGTGACTCTTTTGAGCGGGAAAGCAATCTGGTTTTCCACCTCTTTTTATATAGAGATAGATGAGACCAACAATCAATTTTTTATAGTCCTTGCACTACCATTATTATTACAAACAAAAGAAACAAAATATGTTTAATACTCCGTATTTCACTAAGTAGACCGAGAGAAAATGCAACTACTGGGCGCACATCAATACATTGAGTTCCGTTTTAGTAAAAACAAACAAGCATTTAAATCCAGGCCCCATGATGATGCCTATTCATTTTGCAATATCAATTTTGCAACGGAATATAATTACTATAGCAACTATCTAAGCTAGTCCCCAATCACCATCAAACTATTTCCCATCCAACAACAACAATATCCAAGCCTTAATCCCAAAAGAGTTTGAGGTCGGCTAACATGAATCGACATGTGACATTGGAGTTAAAAATAATAAATAGCAATAATAAACAATAATAAATAGAGAGAAAGGGAGACAAACACAGAAATCCTCCAGGCGTATACTCTCCATCCACTTTGATCTCACTATTTTCCATCCAAGTGGGGAAAAAATTGTGATGAATGAAGTTGATGGTTTTGGATGTAATCTCATTATTCTTTAGGGGTAAAACTTTGCCACTGACTCTATGGCTCTATACGTTTCATACAAACATAATTAGGAATTTGGGATTAAGGTGATCATGAAGACCACAGACTAATCAATTACAAGATTCTATTATTACTATAAACTATCGCTTCATGAATAAAGATCTTACCTTTTTAACTGCAAGACTAGGAGATGATTTGCTTGGATCACCATCCAGCCTCTCAAAAACAGCTAAATCCCGCAGCCTCTCTCGATTTTCCCTCTCCTCAACTGCAAATCCATGCTACTTAGAGAGCAAATAGAGAACAAGCGTATAATGGACCCAGATACAGGAAATGCAATAATCGGTTACCAGGACACATAAACGGGCAGGTTCCAACTAAGGAGGGAAGATTGAGAACGCCTTCTTCGTCAAGATTGGCATCTCTGTCACCTTTACGCCAGATGCTTGAATTGCGGTTGTTGTTCTTGAGTTGGTTATGTGGGTATTCTTGAATTGGGATGTGGGAGGTTGAAGGCTTGAGTGAATTGGACTGGAAATTCACAGGCAGAAGAGCTGGTGAAGATGAAGCGGCTTTTCGGGTTGTGAATCTGGGTTGAGACCGACCCGCCATTGAAGGGGCTGTTTGGTTTTGGAGGGAACTCCGGGCTGTTTATTGTCTACTGATTAAGAATGACAGAAGTATAGAACAATTCTATTTCCTATAGATGAGGTTGTCGTATCATGTCTAGAGTGTTACTACCAAATAACTGCCCTGTCTTTTTTATACGGGCATTTGTGTTTACTTTTTTGTTGTTGAAAGAAGTGATTAAATTATGATAACAAAAGTAGGGTAAATAGGTTACAAAATGACAATAAGTTTTCTGTCCGCAGTCCACCATAAAACTACACTTAGAATCAATCACTTACGCAGAAGCAATGTGATTAAATGATCCCGCTTTGGGCTTAATCGAGCCAATGACATGCAAACCAGACTCCTCATCATCTGTCTTATGTTCTAGATTTTTTTTTTTCACGGAAAAACACGGGACAACCAAAACCCAGAGCAAAGATCCAAATAAAAATGAAACATGAAGAAAACTAAACAAACAAAGTAAATTTCTTAAACCCTAGCACATTGTTCAACCCCTGGCGGTGGTTCAGGAGAAAGTCGGACCATCGCTATGATTGTCTACGCACCAAAACGGTTTTCCTCTGACTCAGTCGCATCTTCTTCATCATTATCAATCACCAGTTCATACTATTCTTCACCAATGTCCGAACCAAGGGCCTTCGACTGTCGTTGGTCTTCTTCCCGTGACGCCTATCCTGCTTCCTCTCTGGACCGTCGCAGGGCTTCTTCCATCGACGAGCATTGAAGATTTGATGATGTTTGGAGCTTTCATTAGTTATTTTATTTCTTATAGTCTTATTTTTGCGTTATGTTTGTTTGTGTTGCTCTGTTTTTTGTTGGCGTCTTTAGTTTTAGTTCTTCAATAATTATTGACAATTCTGTTAGCTATTATGTCGTTAGAAGGATCTTTATGACCGATCAGTTATTGTTGTGTCAAGTCCGTTTGGTGATTAGCGATTCATATTGCTCTTTTAGGTGTAATCGTGTATATGTCTAGCCATATGACAAATATTGATAGTTAGTTACGGGTAGTTGTTGTCAATGTTGGTCTCTTTGAGTTTGGTGTAACGATCACAATCCTAATGATATTAATATATAAACAGGTTTTACTTAAAAAAACTATCATGAAAGCTTGATTTTTTTACAAAGAACTAAGAAGTAGTTAAAACTTAAAAGCATATAGGGGTGAATAAGCAATAATACAAAAACAAAACAACTAGTAAGTGATACGAGAGTGGTTAATTATTCATCTCCAAAATGAGTCATCATATGTAGGAATGGGCAAGATCCTAGAATCGTACTGGTGTTGTCCCATATCGATATTAATATGGGACATGATTGAAACATTGGAAGGTTATCTTGATCTATGCGAGCAGTTTGTAATGAGCAGTTTGTAATGATTGTAATGATAGTACTCCCTCCGTAACTTTAAAATCTTCTCATTTCAAAAGTAGGTAGATTAAGAATAGTGAAAGATGATATGAATTATTGAGGGTATGATGGAAAAATAGTGGAATGATGTGGTGGAATGTAGGATAAATCCAAAAAAAAGTTGTTGTAATAGTGTATTATTTTAAGAATTATTGAGGGTATGATAGGAAAAGAAGATTTTTGTGTTACGGACGAAAAAGAAAAGTGAGAAAATTTTTAAGTTACGGAGGGAGTATATTTTTAGTTTTTCAATTCCATTTTTTAAACTAAAAACAATACCCTAACATAAATATTTACTAACATATATACTCTACATATATATGCGTTTTAGTATCTTACAATTAGAAGACATAATTTGAATAAATAATTAATTCATTTTTTCTTTGTTTTAAATTTTAATTTTAAATCTAATAGCTTTTCAAGTTTTGTAAATAGATAACTTGTGATTCATTAATTTTAAAATGTTAATGCATTATACTTTAGAAATTGATGTATAATTTCTAAAGTAGTTCTGATGATAATTAAAATATATTAGCGTATAATACAATATCTGACAAATAAGATATAGTATAAAGGTCAACAGGACATCATAAAAACAAGGTACTTTAGAAATTGATGTATAATTTCTAAAGTAGTTCTGATGATAATTAAAATATATTAGCGTATAATACAATATCTGACAAATAAGATACTAGTATAAAGGTCAACAGGACATCATAAAAACAAGGTTTAAATATGTGTTTAGTCCCTGCAAATATTGCACATTTTGTTTTACATTCCTGCAAAATTATTTTTTTGTTTTTCTGTCCCTCATTGATGATAACGATCTTTGTTTGACCTTAAAATAACCATTTCTTCTAATTCTTTGTCAAATAGTACTCCGTATTTTATTGTATTTTTTGAAGGTTTTTAATATATATTTTTAAAATATGAATAGTTTTAAATTATTTTAACTTTCATAATAGCCTCAAAAAATTATAAAAGGATAAATTTAAATATTTCTACTAGATTTATATAATTGACAATAATTTTTGTTGTAAGTAGAGTAGTTTCAGAACTGGAGATGGACTAAAAACAAAATAATACACAAAAATAAGAAAAACAAGAAAAATATTAGATATTTCTGGTATGTCCATGGGGATGGCCTCCAAGAGGGTATGCCGGCGCGGCTGTGCCGGTGGGAGGAACAACTGTTCCTATGGCTGGTCCGTGGTGGCCTTCACCGCCGCCGCCATGGGTAAGGTGTGGCGTTACTGCGGCGGCAGGAAGATGAGCTTGCTTGGCTTGCAGCTTTTCAGCGGCGTGATGCGCCTTGGCTTCGTGAAGCTTCATCTTGGCTTCAGCTTCCTTTGATTTTCTCCTCTCCTCCGCTATCTCTTTCTCCTCTTTACTTCTCGCCCTTGCCTTCTCAACCTATCCAACCACAATTGCATTAATCAATTGTCCTACTTTAATTACTTCCGTATTTCTACAAATTACTTGGACGGTTATAAGATGAAGGGAGTTCATATCTTGTGAAAGTTATGAGATTCTCATTTTCATGCTTGCCAAACTCTCGACTTGGACGGTTATATTTAATCCTCTATGAGTAAAAATAAATAAATAATGATCAGATTATGAAAATTTAAGACAACTCTACAATATTTTTCAAAAAATAACCCGCATACATTATAAATAAATTAAAATGAAGTCAAAGGTGAATAGTGTAAAGCTATGTAGCACCGATACCGGTACGCGGAAACGCGGAAACGTGTACGGGGATACGTCAAAACCAAAAAAAGTAGGATACGGATACGGGGCCATATTTATAAATATTAAAAGTTATGGGGGTGTATTTACAAATATTAAAAGTTATAGGGGTCTATTTATAAATAGTTAAAATAGATTTTTTTTTGAATATATATATATATACACACATATAATATCCTATAATGTCTACCCATTCATTGCATTGAAACATTTTCCTTTTTCAAGATACTTGCTAATAGATTAATAATATTTCTCATATATACTAGTGTATCTCGAAATATAAATGTAATCAATAAGTCATTAATTTAAAACGAGAAATAAGTCAAACAACTACAATCTTGAAATTAAAAGTGCAAGTAACCACTTCAGAGTATGAGTTAATGACTTAATTCGGATATAGCCATATAGGCTCATTATTTGATTACCAAGTAAAATATAATGTAGTTTTAGATTTTTATTTTTTTAAGAATTTTATTAAAGTAAATTTTGGGATTTTTTTTTAAAAAGTTGGTACGGGTATCCGTAAGGATACGAGTATCGGGAACTTTAAAAAAATTACAAAAAAAAATGGAAACTTTTAAGAATTGCAGATACGGCCCGGGAACGTACGGTACGGGTATCGTAGAGTATCGGATACGGGAACGTATCCGATACGTCGATACGCTACCCTAGGGAAGTATCCGTGCTTCATAGGTGTAAAGTTTTCCATGATGCAATTAAAAAGAAATTGAAGATAGTGTATGAACAAATAATTGCAAAACTTTCCTATAAAAGCGTGTCAAAGTTTATCTTCATTGATCCAAAAACTAAATGATAGAGAAGATTAAACATAAATAAATTCAACATAAAGGACCACTACCACTACGTTCTCAACAAGACCCCGTGATTTAGAAACACCTAATAACACATGAACTTAATAAAAATGGCTACCAACAACAAATTTTAAAATGTAAATATTAGTGTAATGATGACCAAATAAAGTTTATTGTCATTGACTGACAAAGTCAAACATGACTAATTAAAAAGGGATGACCCAATATTTCTTATACTTCGTATATGAGATGGAAGGTTAATGAAAAAAAGGGAATGAATATAATTAAGATTAATAAGAAATGCCTTTTCATCAGTTTTGGCTGCAAAAATTTCGAGGTGTTGTTTGGCAGTAGAAGCTGCGTTGCTAACTTTCTGCTTTGCCGATTCCATCTTCAAGTGGTCGATCGATCAGTAAGTAAAACTCCTGTGTATATAACGCAATTAAGATTAACTAATTAATTAATGTATAAATGGGTAGAGATTATCAACATAATACTTATATAGAGATTTAGAGAGGGAGGGGATCGGATTGGGCGGCTTGTAAAGGTAATTGAAAGGCGGTGAAAACCGGATCAGCCCGAACCCGCTATGCCTGTCCACGATGAGAATGCCACGTTTTCAGCTACGTGTCGTTCATGCAGCTACCCAACGTAGCCGCTTACCGTACTTGACCGACATGTTATAAATTGTTGTAGTTTATGTTTTAGAACCGATCGTTGTAATTTGTAAACTATCTCCATAATAATATGTAATCACTATCAAATATGTAAGTTACTCATATTTCCAAATAAAAATATAACAATTTTATTTTAGAATTCCATAACGATTTTACTCCTATTTAATTATCCCTCAAATTTTGATAGAGTAATTGGTTTCGATTCTAATTGTATATCTCACTTCTCTATAAATTTCAGGCACATTGTCTTTGTTTTCTTATTCACCTATCATTTTGCTTTTAATTTTAAAAAAAGTGCTTTAAATATGAGTAGAACATAAACAAATTTCAAAAAACAAGTCTATGTTCTATGTCTAAAATAAAACTTATTTATCCATATGTAGAGATTAAAATAAAATAAAGAAGTACCTATGAATAACTTGTGAAATTGCCTCTCCCATCTCTCTCTAGGGTGGGTTTCCACCGCTAGGGTTTTCCCCCCCGCTATCGTTTGTAACGAGGAGCGGTTGCCACAGACGGGCTTATGAGTATAAAGTTTTTCCTTCTGCCATCAATTGTGCGGCTATTTTTCTTCCTTTGCTTTGGCAAGATTAAACGGGGGGAGATTATGTTTGCATTGGTCTATGTAAATCGAAGGTTGTGCAGGGACGGAACATGAATGCTTGGTCTCCGGCGACCAAAGATCATGGACGAAGTGTGGGGCCAGAGGCTGGAACATTCGAGGATGAATAAGAGGCAAGGTGAGGAAGTATCTACAGTATTGCTAGATCGCACCCTCCTGAACCGCCGCCATGGAGTGGAGGAGAGTCTAGAGTTTGGAAACATCTTTTTAATTTTATCTTTTGCTTACCATTTATTTTTCTTGATCAGACTGCTTATTTTTTTGTTGGTTACCTTTATTATTATAAGACTCTTGCATTATGATTGGGTGATGGGAGGTCTGCTTTAACCGTCGTTGGCTCATTTATGCTCATTATAGAATCAGCGAGTTATATTTTTTTTCTTTTAATTTTAAGGTGATTGACTCTAAGTCTGGTTCGAAGTTTGGCAGTTGTTTGTCGTCCTTTTTTTGTTTAACTCCCTATCTGAATGCGAATGTTGTGATATCAATTTAATCCTCCTTCCAAAAAAGGAGATCAAAATAGTAAAACTTCTCTAAATCGAAGTGAGTGAGTACTATTTCATAAAAAAATAACGAAATTTGAAGAATATTTAACTCATATTTACAAAATTTTCCCTACACCTTATTTTGTTACTTTATTAAGCGTCATTCAAAGTTTCGGTAAAAATTTGGGGAGCAACCGGAGCATATACAACTCAGTGACATTTCACTGGCAGAACGTAACTATTTCAACCATAGTTATACTACTGTTGCTAGGGGTGGACCGAACCCGATTCAGTTCCGGTTTGGGCCTAGGGCCAACCGGGCCTGGATGGTTTTGGGTAAGGCCCGGAACCGGCTCAGGGTCTACCGATTCCGGTTCAATTTGTTTTTTTTTTTGTTTTCTTATTTATTTCAACCCCCAACCCCCCCAACCCCCATCCCACCAAACCCTCCAAAGCACCCAACCTAGCACACCTAAACCCAGCCCAAACCCCAAAAACCCCAAAAAAAGGCCCAAACCGGGCCCGGATCGGCCGGGCCAGTTCACCTTTTTCAGGACCCGGAACCGGTTACCCCCTCGGGCCGGACCTAGGCCAGGAACCAGTTTCCCGGGCCGGGTAAAAACAGTACCGGTCCAGGCCGGTTGGCCCAGAACCGGTCCACCCCTAACTCTTGCCTTCACTTTGCCACCAATCACACGGTACTGCCGTACTGGTAGCAGAGCTCTAACACTCTAACAGGTTTCATGGTGATTGTTGGCAAATTTCAGGTGGCAGCATATGAGAAATTGATGTCAAAAACGACGGAAAGAGAAGGGAGATTATAACAAATTTAGAGCTAGACTTTATACTGTTTATAGACGGCCAAGACTCGATAAAGGCAAACTTTCCATCTCCTCTTGTGAACACACTAAATTAAAAGGCGCTAATGTAAAAAACATGCCATAAGCTTGGAGATGAAATGAGGCTTTGACCTCAGTTGAGACTTGAGAGACATGATATGATGATAATCTGATATATACAACAATTTGTGTTATGGGTAGACAAACCCAAGGCAAATTTAGTTAGCCTTCTTTTACAATATAAAGGAAGTCTAACTCAGTAACTCTCCTTCCAGTAACTTTGACGATCCAAGAATGGATTGCTGTATTAGGTCATGTAGTTTCAGATGGTGATTTGAGATTTTCTTGGTCATCATTGTGGTTTTCATATACAACAGCAAGGTAAAGATCGAGGTGTTTCGGGGTGAGGCCCGGGAACCTGTGATACTTGGTTGAACAGGACGGATCCATTTTAACAAAAGGCCACCTCATGGCTTCTGCAGCTTCACATTCTTCCCATCCATCTCCAATGACACAAAACTGCACATTCTGTTGGACACTAAACCGCTCCTTTATCCATTTAAAGCATTGAATCTTCCCCGCATCCCATGAACTGTAGACTGATAAATGGAATTAATTATGCAGACGAAAAAGTCATTTTTTCATATGCGCTAGTAGTAGTGTTGCATAATTAAAACCTACATTGCAGATTGCATGACCATTATTAGACGTAAAATGACCATTATTAGACCATTAAAACCTAAATGTAGTCCTGGTTGGTTGGGAAATTACATGTTTGGTGCCGTAAGCAGAATGATCCAGTACCTTAAGGACCATTCTCATATATGGTTTTGCTTATTTCTGCACAATTCAAAGGCTCTGGGACGACACAAGATTTCATTGTGTTCCCTAAGTTAGTCCTTTTGCATAAAAACGTTTTAATTTGATTTTTTTTATTATTGCTGCATAAAATAACGCAAGTACAAAAACTCAGAGGTACAAAATTTGCCTATTTGGGCATTTAAATGCCCGTATAAACACTGTTTTCAATTAAACTATCAAATAAGGGAATACATGATCTGTAGGCGATGAAATGCAGCGACATTTTGAGTTAGTTTGACCTGAAGGCCAAATTTGGGGGGGGGGGGGGGGTTACAGATATGACTAAAGACTCAGGTATAAGGTCATTTTAAGAAAGCAACCTAAAAGATACAGGCCTACATTTGTGCCCCCCCCGAGGCGATAAAACAGAAACTAGAGTTCCACTATCAATTTTGAGTTAGTTTGACCTGAAGGCCAAATTTTTTTTTTTTGGGGGGGGGGGTTACAGATATGACTAAAGACTCAGGTATAAGGTCATTTTAAGAAAGCAACCTAAAAGATACGGGCCTACATTTGTGCCCCCCCGAGGCGATAAAACAGAAACTAGAGTTCCACTATCAATGTAAGTATATAACCGTTGTTTACTAAAACTATAAATCCTTTATATTAGCTACAATACTTAACCAGACTTATACGGCGGAACAAGGAGGTTTGACTTGGTGCACATTGTGATTCAATGTACATGGTAGGCCACTTTGAAGCACGAAAATTTGGGGAGGGGGATTTGAGGTTTGGGAAGGCTAATTGGCTAAGTATTCCCTTGAGATCTAAAGTCTCATATCTCAAGATAAAGTTACAAAGATAAAAACTGGGTTATCTACTCGGCGAGTACTCGGCGAGTACTCGGTGAGTACTCGCAACTCGGGTCCTTACCTTGCCGATTAGCAACTTAACTCGGCCCGAGTTAATTTTCCGAGTTACTCGCCGAGTACTCGGCGAGTTTTGCTACTCGGTCAACATCGGAAATCGGCGAGTACTCGGCATTACTCGGTTTTTTTTAAAATTGAAGCACTACGGTTAGAAATCCTAAATTAAAACAAAAATTTAACGGAGTTCCAAGTCTCTGACTGCAACATCGGCTCTCTTGGACTCGCGCGACATCCGCTATCCCTTCAAGTTGAGACTGCGACATCAGCTAGTAACTCTTCTTTCGCTCGTAACTTCACCTCTTCACTTCTGGTTTCTTCTTCTTCCCCCCTCTTAGTCGTGTATGGTTTTGCCTTCTTGGATAGTTTTGGTTCTTGTTTTCGGTAAGCTTTCATCTTGGATAAGTAGTCTAGTAGACATCCTGCTTTATAGTATCTAATGCATGACTTCTTGGACTAAACTGATAAATACTTTTGAATAATATAAGTATTCTAGTAGACATCCTGCTTTATGTTGGACTAATGCCCTCGTACTCCCTATAAATTCAATTTCAACAATAGACATTAAATTTTGATCACTTATAAAATTTAAATTTTGAAAACTTAGAATATTTATGACTTTTGTTACTCCATCATTAGGATACTAGGATTTGTATCTTTTTATTCATTTCTATGCTTTTGAAACAATTTTAAGACTATTTTAAGACTATTATATTTCTAAATATCTGGCAACTATATTATTAAATTTAATTAATATAGGACCGAGTAATCACCGAGTAATCCCGAGTAATCGGTCCTACTCACTACTCGGCCCTTGGCCGAGTTACTACCGAGTAGCGAGTAAACTACCTAGGATAAAAATGTGAAATGAAATTGTAAAAGGTTTGAATGAATTTATACAGATACAAATAGCAACTGTCTAGAGATAAAAGTTCAATAAGAGGAACTAACCGTTATGACAAGGAATCATATCGCCCAGTCGAAAGAGTAGGCATTTAACCAAGCTCGGTATGAGTGCCCCAGAAGTCACTAGGACATTAACATGTTGGTATTTAGAACCCTGTCCATTATTAGCACCAACAGCCGAGCAGTCACCGGGAGTCAGCTCAGCATTACCACTAGCACATTGTTCCAAGCAAGCCCGAGCTAAAAAGCAAAACACACATACATAGGATATTAAAAATCATGGCTCTGTGTTTTTTATACGGAGTATGTATTAACCAAAGAATACCCAAATTCCTGTCTACAAAACAAGAAAACATATATGATTATATGAAGTATAAGAAATTCATTTCGGGAAGAGCAGGAAATAAGTATTGTCTGCTCTCCAATGTTAAGTTGCCATCTGCAAGATCTAAAGTGGAGAATGCCAATCATAATAGAAATGAAATTACATATTTACATTATCTCCGTGGTTTCAGTGAGAGCTCTGGTGTGTGTTTGGGTCTTTGGGATGATTGTTTTCAAAGAAATGTTTCCAATTTAATAGAGCATATATGAAGGTCTCTTAAGAAAAGTTATGTTCTACATAACCAGGATAGTATTTACCCGATGAAAGCCATCTATCTGTATAAGTATCGGTTTCTTCATAAAGATCTTCCCAACTTTTTCTCATATCCTCATTAAGAATGGTATGCAACCCCTGCAAACAAATAATTTAAGGCGAAGGGAGCACTAAAACATTACGTATGGCCCTAAATATCCCAAAGGTACCTTTGTGTACTTTTCTGTTATAGTACGATGCCTGTATGCTAATCTCCTTTTATTCACATCATCAACTGGAGGACCGAATCCATCATTGTTGAAATCATAATCAGTGAGATCCCGACCATCATCATAATGGCTCAAAATATCTAGGTAAGGCATGTTGAAATTCTCGATCTGAAAATGCATAAAGTATTGTACAAGGATTAATGGACATAAAAAAACCTAGAAAATCATGAAAAACTAGTATGAAGATTTTAAAGGCCACATTTTTTGGAAAACAGAAAACAAATAGAGAAGTTGGGACACACTTGCTCATAGAAGAAATGGTCATCAGATATTTGAAGAACGTGATTCTCCCAAGACTTCCCAATGCTAACACCCTCCACCCAATTCTTTGAACCGTTGAAGGACTCCGCAAATTGCTTATTTAGCAAAGACTTGACCAATATAAGAGTCTCATCCATGTCCCAAATATACACATTCATTTTCTGATCCATAATTGATAGATGATTTAAACCCTGGAATATAAGGTATCTTATCAGCTTTCTGAACTTCAGACCTTCAGTGTATGTTAAAATCTTGAGATGGGTGTATATAGAATTATAGAAATATAGAATAATACGGAGTAATAATCATCATAAAAGAAATACACAGAACAGCAGAACTGAAAGACAAAAAAAGTAAAAAACTCCACCTCAGTCATTTATATTTCAGAAATGCAGAACAAAATTAGCATGAATGGACTTTCAAAATCATGATAGTTTATTCTGAATCGTTTCAGACCTACTCCGGCTGCTATTCTAGGTTTCCACTGTGGAGCAGATGCACCGAAAACAATAGAGATTTTGCGTGCAGAAGACATACCTCCGAGCTCGGACACGTAGACTATGTTTGACAGGATCGAGGTCAAAGCCTCGGGACGGCCAGGATGCGTCTGGTTAAGACGGGCTCCGGTATTGGAAGAGAAAGGTGGGGGCTCTGGAGACGGATTGACGGGCAGGAGCGCGTTGCACCGTGGACAGAGTAAGGGCGTGATGAGGATTTGGAAGTAGTCGGCAGAGGCATTCGGATGACTATCGGTTGGGCCGAATCTATCCGAATGTTATACGGGTGAGTTCGGCCCATGGTAGAGACAGGGGCGGCTTGAGCACTTTAGAGTCCCTAGACAAAAAATCAGGGCCGGCTCAATAGATTAGGAGACCCGGTGCAAATCACGTAAAATAGACCTTATTTTAAATAAATATAATACAAAAAACAGTCTTTAAAAAATAATCCAAAAAAGACTTCAATCAAATGTGACATTGAGATATAATCATATTTCGAACCTGAACAACCAAAAAATCGGTTAAAAAAACTAAAACCGAAAAGAAATGAATTAAAATCATGAACTAAAAAATATAGAGTAAGATATTACTGAAAAAATTACTCCATCTGTCCCTTAAAACCAAGCTCGTCCAAATTGTACAAGAAATTTGTGCTAATTACTATAACTAGGCCTTATTCAGGCCTTATGTAATAAATAAGTTGCACGTTTATATTTAACAATTTCATTTTAATTACATATAAATATTAGTATTTAATGTTTGTATTTAAAAATAAAATACTAAAATAGTAATCTTTAATCAAATAAATAAAAATTTTGCATATTATGTATACTATATTTAAAATTTTGGGCCTTCTGAATCGAGAGACCTTGTGCGGTAGCACTTCTTGCACGCTCTCATCTACGGCCCTGCAAAAAATAAATTAATATTAACAAATTTTATCAATGTATTTTCTCTAATATAAAAGTCAATAAAAATGAAAAACATTTATTTCAACTCAGATCATTCGAATCACCAAAAAGTTGAGTGATTACTTTGATTATTATCATTCTCGTTTTAATCATTATTATCATTCTCATAAAGAACGTTTTTACTATAATTGTCTACAACAATATTGAGGAATGATTTACATTCTAGTCCATGAAATAGTGAGCGATTTTATAACCATATCTCTTCTCAATTTAATTCTTTTTATACATCACAATTTTTTCGTTTGCCCATCATGACATTACCTAATAGTCTAATACCGAGTTTACACACACACATCAAAAAGCCACACACAAATTAGGATATTATTACCCCGACCATAATTTGCTAGTCTGGTCTAGTCTGTTTAAGTCTGGTCTGATAAACATCTGGTTGAACAAGTCTGGTCTGAATGGTCTGTTTAAGTCTGATTTGGTCAGGTCTGATCTGAGACTGAAAACATTCCAAGTAAAAACATCCTGAGTCAACCGATGTGAAAAGGTAAAGTTTACAAATAAAATTATTAATGACAACCTCATAAATAAATAAATAAATAAATACATTACCACTAGTCTATTGCCATCAAATCAAGTTTACTTCAAAATTGTACTAGCTACAAACGAAACTACACGAAGTATTTATCATTTGGCAGCTGGCTTAACTTCATACAAGTGGAATACACATCACACAAGTTTATTTCCACTGCGCATTAACAGGGGCGGGCCGTAGTAGAGACTCAGGGGCAGTGGCCCTTCTAACAATTTTTTTTAGTGTATATATACACTAAAAAATAATTTTCGCCCTCCCAAAAAATATATATTTTAAGTTATCGCCCTCCCAAGATAAACTTCCTAAGTCCACCCTTGCGCATTAAGATTTCGAAGTGGAAAGCGATTTGGGCATTTATAGTAAAGGTTTCGGTGTTTGAATGGAATTGGAGATGGGAGGTCTTTCAATTTCTAATCACTCATTATACTAATAATTTAATTTTTGAGGCCCCTGAAAATATGAGGCCCTAGGCACATGCCTGGCTTAACTGGGGCTATAGCCGGCTCTGGGTAGAGATCACTTTACATGCAAAATAGATTACATTGTTTGGCTAGATAAGAAATTTATTTTTGATTTGCATACAAAGACATTGCAGTGTTTTATAAAAAGCATGCAAAATATTTTACTACTCCCACGTAAAATACTTTACAAAGTATACTGCAAAATGTTTTTAAAAAGTGTCCTACAGTTTACATTAAAAATCAAACCAAACAGTGTAAACATTTTACGTCCCTCCACTTCGCATGCAAAGTAATTATTTTGCACCCTACCAAACACGCTCAAAGTGTTGACTAAAAAACGTGAATGCAAAGTAATTATAGTTGCTCAATCAATATTTGACAGTTTGATTCTATATTTATGAGAATGATCATGAAAGTTAATTGTACTTTTACAGAACTTAATGTTGGCTGTTGTGACGTTTTTTATGTATCAATGTAGCAACATAATGTAACTAAGGAGGGAAATACTTATAGCTGACTAGTTTTTATGATGAGTGCTCAAATCGCCGGACCAAACTGTCGCACAATGAGAAAATGACCAAGACGTAGCGCCTACTTGTTATTATTGGCATTTATTGACTATATTAATTCAGGGCTGCAAGATATGTCAATGGAAAGGAGTGTCAGGCTATTTTATGAAGAAACCAATGTAATGGATGATCTTGCTCCTACTTTTCCGACATACGAGTCGGGAGTGGTGAAACGAACAAGATGAATTAATTCTACTCTTTTAAATAGCATTAGCACCCAATATAAAGGCATCAGCATTCTTACTCACTAATAGTCTGAAACACACACTCTAATTGAATGAAGCTCTTACACATGTTCTGAATTAATAAATAAATAAGTAATATCACAGTTGTCCCATTAAGATCGAGATATGTGCAACTATTAAAAAGAGCGGGGGCAATAATGTAAGAATGATTTAGAACTATATATGCATTACAGTATTTGGAGCTACACAAACTTAGTGAACGAAAGAAAAAGGAAATGTCGGAGAAAATTAATGAGACGGAGGATGTAATAATTATCATGTTTTGGAAACAAATAAGAAACAATTTATAAAACCTCTGAATAAGGGAGAATCTCCAAGAATTTATGAGAAAAGAAATAGAGAGTAATATTTTTATTTTAAGAGTGACTAAAAATTGTTAAAATTATTTTTATTTTTGAGTATTTTGGTTTTGTAGTACCAGCGAGTGCAAAATTTTACATTGAACATTATAACAAATATATACACATATATTTATATAAATACATATCTACAACGCTATTTTCGAATTTTCGAAATTTTACATTTTTTTATCCTCCATAAACTTTGAATTCATACATTTTGTTAAATAACAAATGCTCAAGAACATATTTTACCGTGCGAGACACGTGTTTGCTTTATTATATTATATAGATATAGATCATAGATTAAACAATAAAAGCCAAAAATTTGGGTCAGGTAGATTTGCTCTATTTTTTCCCCTCATGTCAGAATTGGTAAATCCCACTAGCCTCTATTTTTTTTTATACAAATTATAGATCGAACAATAAAAGCCAAAAATTTAGGTCCAAGAATAAATCAAACTGTATATTTTTCATTTTCAAATAGGAAAAATTGATAAGAACAATCTCACATTGCACTGGTATTCCTATGGTAAAAGCAATGGGAATGGCGCCCAACTCACCAAACCGCCCTTCATGTTTGGACTTCATCTTGACGCGGTCAACATCTTCAACCTACTCGTTTTTATCTCATCTAAGTTTAAATTCCTTCATATCTCATCTCCATGCATTTCTTTTCTTTATACTCTCTATATTATGTAAAATTTGCCAGCTATCTATGCCCTTGCTAGCGTGTGGTATCTACTAATTGAAAGTCTTGTGTTTTCCATCTAGTCATCTACGAAGTACTATGCAAGAGGGCTAATCAAACACTTATACCTTGAAGGAGTTTATACGGGCTTTCCAAATATGTGATCATATAATGTGGGCGATGTACTCAATTGATATACGGAGTAACAATTAATAAGATGATGGATAAGATTGTTATGAACAAGCAGTCAGTCCTTGCAATTTCGGATGCGATTTTCACTATGAGTCATCCGGAAATAGTCTATCTGTGCTTTAGTACAGGGGTAAGAGTGCGTACATCCGACCCCCCTTACCCCACCGTAGGTGGGACTGTGGGAGCCTTTGCGGTAGTGGGGTAAATGAAAATAAAAATGATGAAATGATAAGATTGTTGCAATTATAGATTTTTAACTATGGTGAATCAAAGTAAGGGAAGTGAAAGAACATATGCAGAATAATATATATGTAGAGTTTAAATTCGGAAATGATATGTGGTATCTTACCATCTTAGCAAGCATTCTATTCTAATACCAGCTAAAACAGAGAAATCAAAAGATAATGTAAGAGTTGGATTTCAAAAGAAGTTATAATAGTTTAGCTTGAGTTCAAAGATTTAGTTTAGGGAAGAATTTTCTTGGTTTAGACTGCCTGTTCCGTGAGTATCCCTGTAACTACGTGTGCATGCTAATTATTTTGATTCCGTGTGGTGATTATCGTAAGTCCCGTTGTTCGATTTGCTTGAGGACAAACAAATGCTTAAAGGTGGAGGAATCTGATAAGTCCGTATTTAGACACGCATTTGATGCGTGTTGGGATTGGCTTTTGATGGTTTTCCTAGCTTTAAGGTGTTGCAAGTCTCAATTTTATCTCAAGTTATGTTTACCAGGCGTTGGCTCGAGTTTTGTGTCATTTGGAGTCAAAATAAGGATTTTAGAGTTCAGCCCCGGCGCTTGAGGAGAAATCGGGACAAGTTGAAAAGAATTCGAGAGTGATTTGAGAGCTTTGGAAGTCCCCGGGAGGTTTACGATGAAGATTTGATGACAAAAGAACTCTAGGATTGGATACGGGATCAAAAGAAGACGAAAAGAGCTTGAAACCGGCGATCAGGATGACCTTCTGTCAATCGTTCAAACATATCTCTTTGTAGAATCATCCAAAGGACACAACTCAAGTTGCATATGAAATCCAACTTCAAGGGCTACAATTCCTATGCCGACATCATTTCGATAATCTGAGAGGAAGAAGGTGAAAACAGACGATGAAGTCAGATGATCCCTATTACGATTTCAGAATGCGACCTTCCACCATTTTGATCATATCTCTTGATTAGATGATTCAAATCCAATTCGGCAAGTTGTGGTGGATTGAAGACTTCATTATCTACAACTTTCGTGAAGGAAGCGTTGTCAAA